TACAACAACTATGTCATAATTACTCGTACTTACGCGATTTATTTAATTGATTAATACAAACATTTTATTGATTTACAATAATATAAATATATTAGCATAAAAATACACATATATCACTTCTATTTTTTTTAGTCCCAGCTTAACCTTTCTGGGCTTAAAAAAATAGAAATTATATACTATATTTCAGATATTCAATATTTATTTTATTTCATTTTTATACCCATACGAACGTATGTTCGAAGGGTATACGAGTACTAAATTTGCCTTACCGTTTGTATCGCTAAGAAATAACGGTCTTATGACTCAAGTGTATGCTTTTGATCAGCGTCGAATTCTGAGTTGATTTAGCTTAGTCTGTCCGTCTGTCCGTCCGCCCCAGCGATAACTCAAAAACTAATTGAGCTAACTTGATCAAATTTTCACAAATGATTTATTTAGTAAGTGCCAGAACCCTATTTAAATTGGACATGATCGGGGTACCGGTTCGGGTAGCTGCCATACAACTTGAAAATATATTTGGCTATATCTCAGAAATTGTAAGAGCTGTGGTATTGAAATTTCACCCAAGTGAATACATTAGTAAGGCCAATGTGCTTAATAAAAGTCGTTGAAATTGTTTGGCTCCTTCTGGTACCTACCATTCAACTTCAAACGTTATTTGGCTATATCTCAGAAACTATAAAAGCTATGGTATTGAAATTTCATACAAGCGAATATATTAGCACGGCCGACGTGCTTGATAAAATTCGTTAAAATTTCTTGACTCTTTCTGGTAGCTGCCATACAATTTCAATAATAGTTTGGCACACACATTATTTTGCAAAACAGAGTACTGAAATTTTGCATAAATTAATATGGTAATACGGCAACTTAAAGTCGTAGTCTGTCCAATAGTCAGTTATGGCATATTTATTCACACATAGGATAACAAATTCGTACGGGTATGACAGAGTCAATTCTTTTTTTTCTCAAGGTCAACTCTATTTTTTCTCGTTTTTATTTCAATTTGTTTTATTTTTTTTATTTCTTATTCCAAAATTATTTTCTAATTCAAACTAGTATTATACCTATTTTCTAGTTGTTCTTCCTAAAATCAAAAGCAATTATGAAATTTAAGGGAATATAAGGGTGCTGATGGATAAGCACTATGTCAGCGACAACCCTACGTGCCCTCAAGAACTGTAAATCGATCAACATCAACCTAGCCTCATACGACGGCAACCTAAAAGGATCAGACCAGCCCAAACCTCTCAAAGCAAAACGCGAAAAATTCCTCTGAACAGATTCAATATGAGAAATATCCAAAACACGAAAAGGCGAATAAACCTGACAAGTTTACTCAAGAATACAAATGCTTCGCAATATACGGATATGTAAACTCTATAGCCCACCTCATTACGAAATCCAGCTTCGAATTAGCCCTACCAAGGATCATATTCAAATGAGCATCAAAAAGCAGCCTATGATCAAGCATAACCCCAAGATCACAAAAAGTGCTGACCCTCCCCAACGCCACCCCGTTAAGGCAATAATCATGCCGGACAACAAAAAACTCCGTGCTCCGCGAAAAACTCATGGCTCGACACTTGCCAATGTAAAGTTCCAAGCCATTGACCCGTCACCAGTCCCAAAAACTATCCAAATCCCTCTACAACTCTAGACAATCAACCTCTGACCCGACTGTCCTCACAATCTTGGAGTCATCTGAAAATTATAAAGCGCGACACCCACAACAGAACCAAAAGCATCGCGACTAAAAAGAGTATGGGACCCAAATGGCTACCCTGCGGAATACCCGGCCCGGCACAGTAGACATCAGACAGAGCAAAACGGAAAGAAACCTGATAAAACCAAGGCAAATAGGAATAGACCCACATCAAGCTAAGAAGAGAAAAACCCACGCCATCCAACTTTCTCAGTATAACTTGATGCGGAATAGTATCAAAGTCTTTACTAACATCCGTAAAACCGCTACACTTTAGTTGGCTTTCAATTATTAATTCAAGATAGTTGAATTCCCTAGCCGTTTCAAGAACCTGACTATTAAAGTAGAAATCCCGAGACGTAAATCTCCTATTTCTAAATAAAGGAACCTTGGTTTTCTCTATATTTAGAAAAAGCTGGTGCCCCTTCAGCCAATTTTGAATTGTGCCCAAATTATACCCCATATGTTTCACTAATTCTTCCTCGCTTTTAAAAAAATATTTCAGAACAGCGTCATCAGCATAGAGTTGAATCTGAAAATTCAGCTTCATAAAAGCAATATCATAGATGTGTTCCTTAAAAAAATTAGGCCCCAAAATCGAATCGTGTGGTATCGTCTTTCGACGGAATTACATCATTGATTCTTACGCTCTGACACGCAAATATGACCTGAAGAAGCGGATCTATAGAAAAAGCCATTTTTTTTAATTTTAACAAGATTTTTAATAATTAACTATCTTTTTTTAATTTTTTTATTTTCTCCATATTTGCAACACCAAATTGAAGATCCATAATTTAGTAAAGGCCTAATTTAAGTCTTATATGCAGAGTTAGAGTAAAACTTATTCAATAATTGAATAATTGATATTTTTTAAACATATTTCATAATATGTCAAAATAATCTTGTCATGGTAAAATCACAAAACTTCCATTTTATTTGCTGGTAAAAATATAGCTTTCATTTTTCATTTTATTAAATTCGAAAAATTTGTCGAAAGTACTTACGACTTGTAACGACTTATTCAATTTTAAAACTTTATTATTCTTAAAATAATTTAAGTCAAGATTTTTAAATATTATCATAAAAACTGTTCAGTCACTTTTGCCATTAAGTTAGGCTATAGTAATACCAAATTGATGAAATTTCAAAAACATTTGCACCGCTATAGCTATAATGAGACGAATAGAGGTAAGTCTCGCCTTGTAATCTATGCCAGTGTCTCGTGCAAAACCAAATCTACTTTTCGAATTGCACCTTTCTTTTTTTGACCGCTCTGAATTCATTTTTCTTTATAACAAATATTCATTCATATCCAATTACCATTTCATTCGTTAAATCAGTTGTAGTCCTGCTTCAATTTTTGACACGTGCCTTAATTTCGTCAGTCGTTCCTATTCCCATTCGGATTTACTTTCATCTTCTAAAACTGCCTTAGTATTTTACATAATGCACCAACCAACATTTCGGAAAAAGTAGCATTTAACATGTGCTAAATTCTTAAATGTATAACATCGCTTTTTTATCTTGCCCTATATTGAATTTCCTCATTAATATTTTTTCTTCCAATTGTGCTTTAAGACTTTTAAAAATTTCAAAAGCTTCACTTTTGCTTCTCGTAAACAAAAAACTTTTAAAAAAACTTCATAAAAAATACTTTGCATCTTCTTCTTGAAGTATTGAAATTGGCCCAACACGTGTGAATGAAAATATTCTATAGAAACTTCAAGGATATGTCTAATTGGACATACGACTGCCAAGTTTCATGAATCTGACTTTTTTATTTTTCCAAATATTTAAGATTAGCTTTTGAACATGTATGGGATCTACTTAAACCTGTCAGGCAATTTCACCAAAACTTAAAAACATATCTGACCTATAATTAGACGCACAACTGTAAAGTTTCATGAATCTGATTTTATTATTTTTCTAAATATTTAAAATTAGCTTTTAGAGTTGTATGGCAGATACTCGAACCTGTCAAGAAATTTAACCAAAACTTTAAGAATATATTTGACTTATAATTGGACATACGACTGCCAAGTTTCATGAATCTCACTTAATTACTTTTTGCAAATAACTTTACTGTCAAACAACTGTATGAGTAGATGATTCGTCATTCGAAACTATCAAATTTTCTTATTCACAAGTTAAAGCTATTAATATTTTTCTGTAACATCTTTTAAATTTTTTTTTATTCTGATTTTACGTGGTCACATTCCCACATTTTTGGAAAAAGCAATAATTTTAGATCAAAAATCAGAAATAAAAATCATGAATATTTTCACTAGCTGCCGTATTTTTAATTAATTTCTCGAACAAAACTAGCTTATGCTTTGATATCTTAGAGTCAAACTTAACACACTTCTTTCGATGTACTACAGTTTTGAACTTCTTTTAATAAGTTCTTGGGGTGAAACTAAAACAACACTACAATTTTACCATCCATTAAAATTTTAATTAATTTTTTTCCTTTCCACAAAACGCCACCAAAAAAATTCTGTCTTCAGGACTTACATATATATATTGTTTTTTCCATTTTTACATTTAAACGACGTTATAGTTCAAATATTCGGAGTTAACGTGCAAATATAATATATATGTAATATATTATATAATATAATATAATGTATACAATATATAAAATGTAATAATATACAATGTTACTTCATTATGGTATTATTACATTTTATATATTATATACATTAAATTCAGGGAAATAAAATGAATACAATTATAATGACAGTAATTTCATGTATAAAATAACATATTTTTTGTATTGACATATTCCCTTCTAGAGGGGTTTTAGGGATATTAGTGAAAACTACAGTATCTAGGCAAGATGTAGTAGGAATTTTTACTATAATAAATTTGACATTTTTATTAATCGAATGCATTTTTTGTATGTTATATTATTTTATATGGATGTACGTTATTTACATAAAGTAAGTAGAAATATAAGCACAATTAATATTAAGAATATACATATGAGTTGTTTTTTGTATTTGTTAGTAAAATATGATGTAGCTTGTAGAAATATATTGGCATAAAGGAAATAGTAGTAAAATTTCTACTATAGTAATAAAGGATATAGTAAAATTTCTTATATCGAATAAAATATGCATAATATAGACATAATTAGAGATAAAAAGCGTTTTTTCCGATTTTCATATTTAAATTCTTTAACAATTATATACAAATTTGAAACTTTTTACACATACATATGTACGTATAGTGTACATACACATATATATTCAAGTAATTCAATAGATTTTTCTTTCTTATTTATTATTTCCAGTGGACTTAACAAACGGCCAATTAACACCAAATAACAATACTCCATTACTGACACAAGCCCTTTCAGGTAAGGTATAAAAAATCGAACACTTTTAAATACGTTGCGGATGTACAAATTGAGTTCTTTTCTTATTTCTAATAAACATATCATTTGGTTTCAATTCTTATCATATTAGAGATTTTCATAAACACAATACATCAAAACAATAATGTGATACATACGCAATATATTTTCAACAGTTGTCTAAAAACTTTTGCTGTTTTGAATTCGCAGTATTGTGTTCATGAACAAAAAATGTCCTTAACAAAAAAAAATTTATTTATTTTGGCCCACATAGTGAAAAATTCTATTTCAGGAAAAATAAACATTAAGAAAAACAAAAAAAGAAAACTAAAACAAAAAGAAATTTTGTTATGTTTAAGTACAACAATTAACAAACGAATTCCTAAAAAACTGCAAAAGCTATAGTAAAAATTTAGTAAAAAAAAGTGCAGTTGATTTAACTGTACACAAATATAGCGCAGTTCTCGCTATATATCGCAATATACTGAGTTTATGAAAAGGCCTATTATCTTTACGAAATTTGCAATCAAATAATGAAAAAACTAAAATTCAGATTTTATATGTAGTAACTAACCATTTAAATTGAATTATGAATTGAAAAATCACTATATTCTAGAACGAGTTATTGTGAAAAAACATGAAAGAAAAGTGTAAAAGAGGATTTGTGTTAAAAAAAGGAAATAAAATTTTTTGATACATAACTTTCAGTTTTGAGTCTTGTAAGCATAATCGGATAATGTCATAAATGTTTAGATAAATTACACACACAAAAATCGGATTTGAAGGATGAAAATGAAAAATTTTGGAGATATTAATTTAAACCTTAAAATAACTTATAAAGTAATAAGTATACAATAAGCAATTTAATATCATAGTTTCAAACAACAAAAATTGTTTAAAGTCAGTGCCCATATTTTAAAAGTCAAAAAATCTAAATCTAATTACAATTTTTTAGAAGAATTTTCTGTTCATTTTCAGTGACGTTCATTATATATATATATACATATATAGTTACTAGAAGGGCTAGAGACATGGCAAAATAGGCATTAGATTGAGTTTTGCAAGCAGGATCCCAACAAAAATCTGACATTGCAACTTTTAGCCCCTAAATAACACTATTAAGATTTAAAAAAAAAAATTTTTGTATAATAAAAGCACGTTTTTCTCTTATAGCTTATATTATTAGAAACACAAACTAAGAAATAAATAATACCAGAAACTACTTTATACATAGGTTTAAAAATTCATACAAAAATACGTGAACATTTTACTTTTCTACTTTTCAGCTTTTTGAATTCTAATTTACAGTTTTTAATACTGAAAATTACAACATATATGAAAATATTCAACTAGTAGGTACAAAACCCAAATATTAAAATAAAGTTGGATCAAACCAATGGTTTGTATTGTAGCACTTTTCCCTTCAACAAGTGAAAATTCTGCTTTTAAATACAATCTATGTATACCTATCACAATATTAAAATTATTTTTCATTCATATACAAAACTATTTCTAGGATTGCATATATTTAGGATGATGCATACATGCAGTCTTTGAAATAAAGCAAAAATTAATATAAAGTGAGGCTAACATAATGCTCGATTTTAGGGGTTAATTGTATGAGTTAAGAAAAATAATTACATTTTTTAATGTCATGGAATTTACCGTTAGCTTTTTGTGTTTATAGAAATTTGAAAAAGCTTCAGTTTCGGAAATATAAGGTGTCAAAAATTCAAATTTTACAAATTTCAAGAGACGATAACTTGAGAGGGGGTTGAGATGGAAAAAAATTTTCTTCTAACGAAACGGACTATTTGTTAATGTCTAAAAGCCCCTAAAATTTCAAGCTTCTACAAGCTGAGGTCTAGAAGAAAAACGACATCAAAAATTTGGAAAAAAAAGACACGGTAAATTTGGACGGCCATTTTGTTTTTCTGAAGTTTGACTATAGTATACCGCACTAGGGGAAGCAAGCCGCTGCCTTTATGCGTTTGCAAAATTTCAAAAATGCTTATGGTTTCATTGCAACAAATAGTTAAAAAAGACCATTTTTTGAGTTTTGGGGGGGTATAACTTCTAGAGGGGGGGAGATAGGTAAAAATTTTGTTCTACGGAAATAAGTTTGTAGTAAAGATCTATGAACGTAAAAAATTTCAGCTTTCTTTCTTCAAGGGTGTGGAAGTTTTGTAAACAGACACACAGACAGACGGACGGACGGACAGAGTGAAACTAATAAGCACTTTTTTTCAAAAATTTTTTGGAAAAGTGCTAATTATAATTGATGACTTGAACCAATATTCATTTTAAAAATAGGAATTTCCCTTAAAAAATTTAATATAAAGCGTTTTTATTAATTAATATTTTTGTTAGAAATACACATCACCACATACTCGTAATAAATACATATATAATTCAAAAATTTTCCAAAAATTTAAAAATTTTTAAAATCTTGAAATCAAAGAACGCAATGTTTTTTTTTTTTGGTATTAAAAGTACTGCCTGCGTTAATATGTACACATTTTGTTAATATGTGTTTTTTATGAACAAAGTAAATTATTTACAAATTGAAAAGTTCTTTTATTAAAAGTAGCTAACAAAATTAATAAAGTTGGTTAACACTTTAAATGGTTTGTAAAGTAGTAATTTTCCAAGTAAGAATACTGCTTTTAAGAAAAATTGAGGCGTTGACATAATGCTCGAATTTAAGGGTTGATTGCGTTATTTATTGTTAGCTTTCATTCATAGAAATTAAAAAACTTGCAGTTTCGGAAATATGTGCTGTCAAAAATGCGAATTTTACAAATTTCGAGAGACAATAACTTGCGAAGAGGTAAAGTTGGAAAAAATGTTTTATTAGTATGTAAAGCCTAGAAAAGTTTCAGACTTCTACAACCTATTTTATAGAAGAAAACTGATATAAAAAACTTGAAGTGGAACAGGCTTTAGATAACGGTTAAATCTAGCGGACATTTCTTTTTGATATTCAGTTATAACAGTATACTGTACCGATGTAAAAAATGCCAGCCGCAACTTTTTTGCAATTGAATGTTTATGGTTTCTTAAAAATGGCTGTTTAAAGGGATATAACTTTTAAAGGAAATGGGAAGATAGCTAAAACTTTTCCTCAACGGAAGGAAGTTTCTAGTAAAGATCCATTTATATATTAATTTGAAATTTCAGCTTTCTTTCTTGAAAGGTGTAGAACTTTTGTAAACGCCGTATTGTAAACGTATTTTAAATAAAAGACAAAATGATTAGCATCATTAGCATCAAATTGATCAGCATCATTTTTAAAATAATCTAAATATTTTCTTTCAATTTTTTTAATTTTTTTTACGTTTTGTTTTTATTGTTTTTATGTTTGTTCTTCATTTATTATTGTTTTCAATATTATGTTTCGTCAGCAAGCTTTATAAAAGTATACATACACAATTTATGTACGTATGTCTGTACTCAAAATTTCATTTTTATTGTTCGAGCTCAAAAATGCTAAATTCTAATACATTCATATGTACATACATATATTAGAATAAAAATGTTATATTGTTTTTGCCTAAACCTTTTCTTTGTTTGAAAAATTTATATAAAAATTTAAATCATAAACAGAAATGATTTAATAATTATTTATTTCTATATGCTTAACCACAGCTTTGAGTAATATTCAATTCATACAGGAAGTTTGAAAAAAAAAATCGTTAGGAAGCTTTAAAAAAAATATACTTACATGCTTATATACTTAAAATTTTTGCGAATTTTTCAAAACTATTATAAAAACATTTATTATAAAAAAATTTTTCTTAAATTTTTGTAGTAATATTTATCTGTTATATATTAAAAAAAAATTTTTTAAAATAATCCAAAAAAAGAAAAATACGACAATATCCAGGCAAACATCGATCTAACAGCTTTCTGGTTATAAGACTATCACGCTACTCATTAGGATACGCAGTACCTTGAATTTGCCTTTATAATTCTTTATTTTATTCTTATTTTGTATAACTCTTCAAAAACCATTCTATTTCACATTATATGTATATAGCTACTTTTCAGGTGTCAAAAAGGTACGGGTTCTTCTAGAAGGGCTAGTGGCATGGGACAAAAGGCATTAGATAGGGTTTTGCATGTAGGGTCCCAGAAAAAGTAAGGATTCCACTTACCCTCCCCCTTCACCTCCGCTGTCTGACCGCTATTTACAGAATGGTACTACATCATGTAGTTGTAATTTTTATTTTCTTTGGGTGGATGAAATATCGTATACAGGGTGATTCAGAACGGTATACAACAACATATATCATTAGTTAGAGGGTCGGAAATGGGTAAAACTTTTGTTCCGAACTAGGTGTGAAATCTCAAGGGTTTTCGAGATACAGGTTTTTTGATTATAACTTCCGTTCTGAAAAAGACTGCAAAACTTCGAACTTCAAAGCAAAAATTCAAACAAACAGTTTCTCAAAGGTCTAGTAAAGGGCTTAAAATAAACGCCTTACTTAATTATGTATTTTGTGTACTTTCGGAATACCAATCATTCGAACTTTAGGAAAAATCAAATTTTTCCCTTTCTTAATTTTTTCAGGTTTTTCTAACAAGGTATTATTCCAAGTTTGAAAAAAATCATAGAATAGAAATAATAGTTTGTTGTTATTGATTACATTTATTCATTTATATACACATAACTATTATAATTTAACCAACAAATGTCCAAAAGTAAAATTTGAAGCTTTAATTGTGCGTTTAAAACATTTTAAGATTTTAGTTAGAAGAAACTGGAAAGGAGCAATTAAATGCCTTTAATATCTCATTTTTCTTATGATATACAAAATAAAAATGAAAAAATATTAAGCAAATAAAAAGAACTGACATCTTCAATAGTTTTTTCAAACTAAAAAATAATTTCTATAGAAAATAAATTGAGAGAAAACATACGAATTTTATCGAAGTTGACCCGATTGAAGCAATTCGGAAAAATCTTTTGATGGGGTGCAGTGCTGCCGTTTTTGCTGCAA